AATAATAATAATAATAATAATAATACTGAGCGATAGGAAAAGTATAGATCGCATTCATGTATGAGATGATAACTATATTCCACTTTCGTTATTATTGCTATTTTTAGATCAGCCGGAATGGCTGACTGTCAGGAAAATGGCGATATATCATCAAGTTACTCTTTTATTTTGATATGTGCGGAGATGTCTGTCGGTGTCGGGAGGATGACGAAAAACATTTCTACTGGTTGGATATCGTGTCTAATTATAAACCGGCTTGTTTGTCATCTCTATTTTCAGCTTTTTATGCGCTATATATGAAGCATAATCAATGTCCAATAATATCCCTGGTAAATGGACTCAGTGTTTCAATCCTATAAGCATCTATTTCTTTAAAAAAAAAAAAAGAAAAGAAAGTAGTCGCAAAACAGATCACAAATAAGCTCTTCCATCGAACAAATGTTTGTCTGCACGTAAATATTTCATAGCTTTCTAAGGGGACAATGACGAATATCTTTGTAGGAAGTCAATATTTGATAAACAGGTAAAAAAAAATATTACTTTTTTTGTTGGCATTCAAAATTCTCATCAACGGATTAATAGGGGAGATGGGTGGTCCGTTAAAGCCGATTGTCCGTAGATGGGAGGGGATTATTTTTGCCTTATAAAACCGCTATAGTAACTGTCAGTAGTTATGATCATAATGCAAATACTATAAACATGCATATATGGCATAAATAAATATATACATAATATAGATATATTAATCAAAATAAAAAGTTCTCACAGTTACTTTCTCACGCACGGGCTAAGGTATCGTACTTTATGTACTGTACACCATCTTTGTTTACAACTGAAAAGTCCCCCCATGTCACCAAGCGGTCAGTTTGAGAACTAATACGACTCGTTCTGCTAAACACTCAAATTTTGAAATACCTCACTGACGATTTGGAAGTTTTTTCCTGCAGTTTTTTTATTTTTTATTTTGCCTGCAGATTTTGTCCGTTGAATACGAAATCCGTAGATGAGAGGTATGTCTGTATATATATATATATATATATATATATATATATATATATATATATATATATATAACTTTCGTAAGGCGTGAGCTGTCCTTGTAAGAACAATTGTATACTGTCTCATTTCGATCAATAATTTTTTCTTGTTTCTTTTTAAAACATTGCGGTTTCACGTGTTCTTTTTTGACAGGTAGTCGGTTCAGCTTTTCAACGAAGTAGACGTCCTATCAGAATTCATTATTGGTAAGGCAGTCTTAACAATATAAGATATGCAGATGACACAGTGTTGACAACAGACGCAGAAAGGAAACTACAAAATCCCCTACAAAAGGTAGTGAAAGAAATCGAGAAGAAAGATTAAGTGTAAGCTAAAACAAAAAGAAAGAATGCATGGTTATCAGCTAAAGGGTGAGCCCAAAATGCAAATTACATATCAGGAATACTAAAATCAAACAAATACAGCAAATTTAAAGATCTGGGAAGTGTTTTAACAGAGGACGGAAAGTGTGGTCTGAAGACGAATTGGGATGGACAAAGATGAAATCCAAAAGCTAAGCAGAATATTAAGAGATAGAAAAAATTCGTTGGAAAGAAAGAGTACTGAACTGTTACGTGATATCTGTCCTCCTATATTTCAGCGAATGCTGGACAATCTCCTCAAAAATGAAGAAGACACTTGTAGCAACAGAAGTATTATTCTACAGAAAGATGCTGATGATATCATGGGCCGAACATGTGAGCAACAACAAAGTTTTGGAGAAAATGGAAACAAAAAGGTAACTTATACTTAACATTAGGAAGAGACAGTAGTTGAAATTTCTGGAGCACGTAATGAGGAAAGAGAGCTTGGAAAACCTGACACTCACAAGACAGATTGAGGGAAAGTGGGACAGAGGAATATAGCGCGTATCATACGTGATGAGATTGAGTAAATGGATTGTAGAACAAGGTTTGGGAATAAAAAAAACAAGAGTTACAAGGAACAGGAAGATGTGGATGGCGATGATCACCTATATCCTGAAGGGACACGGCTCATAAAATAAGAAGTTGGTCGAACCCCCTTGGGTGGATACAGAGTCTGTTTATCTTGTTCAATGATCATTTCTTCATTTTGAAACAAATATGGGGCTGGTAATCTTCAAGAAAAAGATGCGAAATCAAGAATCGCAGTTTACGAAAACAAATGCCTCAGTGCAATGGCTGGAAAATATCAGAGACAAACCAGAATGGCTGACGATTAGAAAACAAGATTGGAAGACTGACATTATCCTGATTAAAAAGAGGAGAGAAAAATGTTTTTGCCATGTAATCAGAATGGGAGAACAAGGACAACCTCACTGGCAGAAGACAATCTAAGAGATGGGAAGACCTAACTAGTGAGAATACCGGAATAATACTAGAAATTATTTGAAAACTTTTAATACTTTTGACACTTGAAATTATTACATTGTGCAGTGTTATGGGACCTTACCCATCATAACATAATGGACTATTCCATACGTAATAAATACTGCGCCTCAAAAGGAAGCAGGGAGTTCAGCCCGAAGTCGGGTGACCGGCTGGCCGGCTGATCGGTTGAACTCTCTGCCTTCGGGCGGGAAGGAACCCGAACGAGGCTACGCCGAAGGGCGGAGTCTCTTTCGGGGAGGTAAACCGACCCTGAACCCGTTTATACGGGTTCAAAGGGCATATTTTTGGCCGAGCCCACGGGCTCGGAGATCCCACGTTAAATCGGCCTTGTGCCATATGATGCCCTCCTGGTGGGGGTGACTAAATACTGTTCAGTCTGAAGTCTGGAGTGAGGTCTGTCAGAAGTCCGTCAGGAGTCTGTCAGTCAGTCAGAGCGAGCGAGTCAGTCAGTCGAGTCAGAGGCAGTCTGAAACATTCAGACAATTACTACTAAACCTGATTGTTCGTACTAACGCTTTCTACTTCTCTGTATATATTCCTGTTTGTAATATATCTGTTTTATTCCATATCCGTGTTCGAGTTCTTTATTGGTTCTACCTTGGACTATCACCGTGGTAGAAGGAACCGGACCATAACATGCAGAAAGAAACGATAAATTCATATAAACAAACTTTATGAAGGAGATTGAATACACAATTCAGAGAGAACACCGTCATGCCGCTTTTAACAATTGAAATTACTTGTATGTACATAAAAAAAAATGGCGAAATTGTGGAGACAAGAATTAATGAAGTGATAAAAAACCAAATCAGAGAGAAAGCCGACATGCCACTTTTGAGACATAAAAGGATTTTTTATACAAAAATAAATGGCAGAATGGTATAGACAAGAATTATGCAAGAGATGGTAAAAACAAAATATGAGACTACACCGACATGCCTCTTTTAATACTTAAAATTATTTCTATGTACAGAAAAAAAATGGCGAAATCGTGTAGATAAGAAGTCTGCAGCAAATGGGGAGACAAAATCAGAGGGGACACCGGAATACGACCTTTGACACATGGAACTATTTCTTTGTACAGAAAGAAATGGCAAAATTGTGTAGAGAAGAAATATACATGAATCCCTTTCAGATTATGTAACACAGTCGTTTAAGTTAAGGTGTTGTCCTGTAAAAATAATTTTTTTCCATCTAAAGAACCAAGCAATCTTTAGATGACATATTCAGGAATAGAAGCAATCTTTCGAGAAAGTTGAGACCTCTCTCACCATTGCACTGGGCAACCTTATCCCATATTATGCTGTTAACCAGCTTCGAACCAACCACGACAAAACCCAAATCAGTGGCTCCCACCTATGTAACAAGGAAGCCTTATACACAAAGACTACATTGCAAAAACTAAATCCAAGGTGGAATCAAGAAACAGCATTCTAAAGAATTTGGCTAACATCAAATATGGTGCCCATGCCGGTAAAATCCGTACCACAATCCTAGCCCTTTGTTATTCCACAGCCGAATATGCCTCGCTAGCGTTGAACAGATCATTACAGGAGATCGATCCTGTCTTAAACACCTCTTACAGATCGATCGATCACTGGGTGTCTCAAGCCAACCAATGTAAATGACCTCTACTTGCCGAGTGGTACTACACATCCATACATAAAAAGGACAGTCCACTCCCAACTCGAGAAGTTGAAGCTGAAAATTGACCCTCGTTGCCCACTCTACGGCTGTGAACCAATGGCAAAGAGGCTCAAGTCAAGTCTTAGCTTTTTACGCTCAACGAAACCATTGAACAACCTGTCTGGGTCAATTCCGAACAGCTATTGGTGGCTGAAGAGCAATCGTTCAGAAGTGAGGATATGCAACCGATGTTGATTCCAACTGCCAGTGCGAGCAATCACAAATTCCGGAACATATAATTGGCTCGAATTATGAAGATCCATGCAAATTGAAACCTTCACTCCCCAAGAAATGTCCTCTGTGCAACTCTGTATGGGTTTAATGTAAAAACTCGATAATAAGATATTTAGGAATATATCACTGACAATAATTTTGAAACTTCCTAATGACAATTTTTCAATATAAGTAAAATTAAATACTTGTAACAAAATACTCTATTAAAATTGATTTTACTTTGCAAAGTGTTATCGCATAACTTTATTGGCCTTATCGAAAAAAGTTGAACTATATTGCTGTGTCCAGTGGTGTTGAAAAATATCCTGTTTTCAGAGGGAAACTTCTAGGGACAGTAGTAGAGCAAAGAAAAAGCGCTTTGAACAATTTTATATTCTAGCTGGAAGAAGGAGGAACGATATATTGACACATATCATTGGTGTGGGAAGGTGAGTGAAAGAGGATGAAAGAAAAAGAGGAGAAAATACAGAGAATGAGAAAACGACGTTGAAAAAGAGAGAAAAAGAATCACAGAGATAGATAGATAGATAGATAGATAGATAGATAGATAGATAGATAGATAGATATGCAGTGAAAATAAGGAAAGTGATAGATAGATAGATAGATAGATAGATAGATAGATAGATAGATAGATAGATAGATCAAGAAAAGTGATAGATAACTAGCTCGCTAGATATACCGAAAAAATAAGAAAATGATAGATAGATAGATAGATAGATAGATAGATAGATAGATAGATAGATAGATAGATATTTTGTGAAAAATAAGGAAAGTGATAGATAGATAGATAGATAGATAGATAGATAGATAGATATGCAGTGAAAATAAGGAAAGTGATAGATAGATAGATAGATAGATAGATAGATCAAGAAAAGTGATAGATAACTAGCTCGCTAGATATACCGAAAAAATAAGAAAAATGATAGATAGATAGATAGATATGCAGTGAAAATAAGGAAAGTGATAGATAGATAGATAGATAGATAGATAGATAGATAGATAGATAGATAGATCAAGAAAAGTGATAGATAACTAGCTCGCTAGATATACCGAAAAAATAAGAAAAATGATAGATAGATAGATAGATAGATAGATAGATAGATAAAATAAGGAGATAGATAAAGAAAATATGAAATGTGATAAATATATAGATATACCGAGATATTAAGAAAAATGATAAATACATAGATAGATAGATGAAACAAATAAGAAAAGTTGCAGATAGTTATATATACAGAGGAAATAATAAAAGTGCTAGATGGATAAATTGATATACCAAGGAAATAAGAAAAGCAAAAGATAGATATACCGAGAAAATAAGGATAGATAAATATATCTAGAAGATACGAAAGGTGATAGATAGATAGATAGATAGGTAGATAGATAGATATGCAGAAAAAATAAGGAAAGTGATAGATAAATAGATGGATAGAGAAAATAAGAAAAGTGATAGATAGATAGATAGATAGATAGATAGATAGATAGATCAATAAAATATGATAGATTGATAGATACATGCACAGATACATACATAGAGAAAATAAGAAAAGTGATATATAAATAAATATAAATACTGATAAAATAAAAGTGATATATAGATACACCAATAAAATAAGGAAATTTATAGACAAATACATAGATATATATGCAGAAAAAGAAAAATGATAGATAGATAGATAGATAGATGAACCTCTTATTTTTACCGTATGAAAGAGAGTTGAAGAGAACTAAGAAAACGTGTAGATATCAAGCTTAACGCTCGATGGATGTGTCTATGATCTCCATCTTCTCTCACCGCCCCAGACAAAATCGTCTTTGTCGAAAATGTCTAACAGGAAAATGGTCTTAAATCGGAGAGGTACACGACTCCGTTCCAGTCTCAGACTTGTGTTAGTTCGAACAATTTTACTGAGACCAAGAACTCAAATATTTTCTGTCGTGGCTCGAAGTAGGGCGAAGATCCTTTTTTCGAGACGTAGATTTTCGAATCAACCAGGCTGGTTTTGAAATCAGAGATTTCTTTCTCTTGGACTACTTGCAACCTAATGCTATAACACCCAGTCTGTCGTACTGGGGTAAGAAGTGGTGTAGTGATATCAGTGTCATCCGATATTTTGTTCAATGAAAACATCTGTGCTGTCACAAAAATTATTTCAGACATTCATTATCCTGATGATTATCAGCTAAGTGACGTGAACCCCACAAGGAACATGGCAAACGACTCTGATAAAATTGGTCACTGAATGAAGTCACACCTTGATTAATAACTTGTTAAAAGAAATATAACAAGACAAAGAAAAATAATCTCTATAAGACAGTGGGAACTACCAGCGGAAAAAGAGAGACGTAGAGAAAAAAATAAAGAGGAAGAGAAAAATGCTTGCTTCCAAGCGATAGGGAAGACTCCCGTTCAACTGTTCACCACACCTCACCTCATTTCATCTCATCCTCGCTCGCTCGCAACCAGAATAACTTTTACCTACTGTTACAATCGTCTCATGCTTTTAATTTGTGGGCGACGATCTGGCCAATGTGTTATTTTTTTTTAATCCGTAAGCGTTTGACTGGAAGAAGCTGTATTCTGAGAACGAATTTGGTGTCTAATCTGAGCTGCAAAACAGCAATAGATTCATACCTTTCCCAAGTAGAGTGCAGTAATTCCCATGTAGGTAAATGTAATGGACTCGACTGGAATTCGAGCTCGACTCTCCGATTCCTTAATCCGGCAGCTATCCATGACTCAATCAGGCCCCCACACATAAATAGAGTTCACTTTTCTTTCTTCAGTCAATTTTAATTTAGTCTCCCATTGGCCAATCTTATTTTGATCTCTCACTGTGGCTACGACGAGGAACCAATCTCTAGCATTATATTTTCTTCCGTCGTTTTATCTTGTATGGAAAATAATCTGACACTACAAGAAAAGACATCGTCTGTATAAAAAAGTGCACCATGATGCAATTCACTTTGCCAGAAATTTGGAAACGGCATGAGGTATTGCTTCCAATACGAACATTTCAGAGCGATTGTGTGTCAATCTGAGGACAATGCAGAGGATTCGGAAAGAGTTGGATGATATATGCCGTCAACATCTTGGTGTTTGGTGTGATCACTAGTGATGGCGACGTTATGCCTTCATTCATCTTCCCACAGGGACTCAGACTCAACACAGATGTCCACTTCAACGGCTTTGAGGAGGTAGTGCTGGCTTGAGTCAAGAGATTCCAAAGTCGTCTTGATGGCGATTTTATTGAATAAATTTACTCTTTAGTATTTCAAGATATTTTTGTGTCATTTTGGTAAATATCTCTGCTAAAATGAGATGTCAGTGTTATTTTCATTTTTGTCTAATTTAGACGACAATTTTTCCATCACAACCAGTAATTAATTTCAAAATGCCATTTCAATGTCAAATTTGGATAAAGCGAAAACAGAAGAAGATTCCGAGACAATATAATACATGTTCAAAAAAGTGTATCAAGGTTTAGGTTTAGTTGTGAAATTATCGAACTCATCTCTTTATTCTAAATAGGTATATATCGTGTGTAACAGCAACATTACCTAAATCGGGTAACAGCAAAATTGTCCGATTGTAAGTTTGAACTGTTGTATCTTAGAAATGATTAAATACATCTTACTGGAATTCTTCGAGATTTTTATAACACTATTGGATTCTACTTTCAACAATAAGAATGTATTTAGCTCTAAGTTGAAATGACGATCCCTATTCCTGGTGTCACAACCTGATCCAGTTTAACTCCCAACTGTTCCCTCTTTTTAAAATTTATTTACCGTTCTGTTAATGGTTTTTGAATGGTCTTTTAAGACGGAAGTCAGAGTATGAATGTTGGTACCATTACTGAAGGCCTGGATGATCTTTTTCCTCTCATCATTGCTCAGTTGGGAAGATATAGCGGGGGGCTGAGACAAAATGATTTTAAACTGTTCTCTTTCGATCTGGATTGTTCAAGGTTTTTTTTCTGTGATTCTAAAGTCAAATGATGTCAAAATGACTGAACATCTTATCTGAAAACTTGAGAAAAAGAAACTCAATTAGTTTAGTGGTTTTTAGATATTAAACATTTTCTAGGTGGACAATTATCACATGCTGTTACACGATTTGGACAATTTTACTGTTAATACTTGTACGATATATATATATATATATATATATATATATATATATATATATATATATATATATATAAACGCCAAATTATTATAGAGATATTTTTTTCTAATATTTCAAAAACCGTCCGATCAATTCACACCAAATTTTCACACAATTTTGGCAACACAAACCTACGCAATCACTGATCTGCGCAATGTAAACAAACTGGCGCCATATTTGTTATCAGCATGGTGATTTGAGCATGCCAAATTATTAGAAAGGTTTAGTAAAATTCCCAGAATTGAGCAAACAAAACGTTTATTAATGTTGCATGTGAATGTTTATGATCAAAAGAAGCTAATAAATAAGATAATCAAACAAATAATAACAGATACAAACAAAGGCACAGTTTTAAACAAATTAATAGGGAATGTGCTTTCTCTGTTTTGAAATTACTTGAATAAGTCGACGATCCATAGAATTTGTTAATTGTAGGATGTCATCTGCTGTAATGCAGAGAGATATGTCAAGAATTGCTTCCCATAACTCAACGTTGCTCCTGAATTGTCGTCCGTAGGCATACAGTCTTCGCTTCATGATGCTCCAAAGGTTTTCGATTGGGTTCAAATCCGGAGAATTTGCTGGCCACTTCATTTTTCGAGGTCCATTGAAGCCTAACTGTTTCAAATATTCAGTAGTCTTGTGAGCAGCATGTGAGGGAGCATTATCTTGCATAAAAACAATGGCCCTTCTGAAGGCAACTCTTTGTCTTTTCATCCACGGCTCAAGATGCTCCTTCATAAACGCTATGTATGCATCAGCAGTCATTTTGACGCCATCTGGTACTCTCCATGGGCCCACTAATGTTTTTCCAATAATACCACCCCAAATCATTATACCTCCACCGCCTTATTGGCGTCTCAAACGCTGATGGCGATTCTGTCCGTTCATTACCCAGGCTTTGCTCAATCTATCTGGCAAATCAAGTGTTGCTTGAGTTTCGTTTGAGAACTAAACTTTAGAGAAGTCAATCTTCATATCGTCCTCGGCTCATTTCAATCGATTTTGAATGTGATTTCTCATCAACGGAAGATTCGATACAGGTTTGACTGTTGTTTCTATTTTCCTCAGATACCGACACCGAGTACTTTTAGACACAGTAGGATACCCAATGAGACTGAAAAGCTCTCGACTAAAAAGTCCAGGGTTCTTCGTTGGCCTCTCGTTTAACTCGTGACATGAGACGACGTGAAATAACCCTCGGCTTACCTTTATCTGCCCTTTTGCATACTTGTGTAGGGTCGGCGGTGAACTCTTTCACTGTTTGATGACACCTACCAATCATTTTAGAAATTTCTAGGGTAGATTTACCTTTTGAGAGTTCTGAGGTGATAGTTTTCTTTAAAGCATCACTGTTTTTATGGCCCATGTTTTCACTACATTCTTACACTTTTCTAATAATTTGGCACACACAAATTACCGTGCTGATTAATATGGCGCCAGTCTGTTTACATTGCGCAGATCAGTACGAAAATTTCAGTGATTGCGCAGGTCAGTTTTGCCAACATTGTGTGAAAAATTTTGTGAATTGATTGGACGGTTTTTGAAATATTAGAAAAAATTATCTCGATAATAATTTGGCAAATTGTATATATATATATATATATATATATATATATATATATATATATATATATATATATGTTTGGTGTGTGTGTGTGTGTGTGTGTGTGTGTGTGTGTATAATTTTAGATATATAGATGAAGGAAATAAATCATTTTTTTCAGGCGGTAATCAAATTTCATTACAAATATTGAAAAACATTGCGGACAGACACTTCTTATCAATTGGTCAAAAAATACAAAAATAATAAATGTTTGCTGATATCGTGTTGACACAAAAGAGAGACAACTCTCTGAAAAGTAAAAAACATATTTATTAAATGAGTGTTTCAAAAGAAAGCTGACATTTTGACAGCTGGATCTTTCGCTTTGAAATTAGAACTTAATATTAACTTTCGTTCACGTGATCTTGAATTTTCTCTTGCCTTGTGGTTTACTCTTGTGTACCAAGCACGATTGCCGGGGTAACAGTATAATCTCAACCGAGAGTATACCCGGGGTTATTCTAGGCTAAGACTTTTAAGCATTTCAAAGTGGGAGTGCCACTAGCATGCAAGAGAGTGAAAGTAAGAAAAAAGCAGAGGGTGTTTGAGCAATGACAAAGAGAAGTACAAGGATCAAGATCAAGGCATCAGAAGATGTCGATTGACATTACATTTACATTTTTGAAGATTATAGTTGTCAGGGAAGCAAGTAAGAGGAAGAGAGTTCTACTGTCGGGAAGTCCGAGAGAAGAAGATGCTGGAGTCGAAAAGGCGGTTACATTTAACTGTTTCGACTGTGAATTGGTGGGACCGAGATACCAACCTACTAGCACTGTTAAATTCATGCAGTTTGGACACCAACGAAAGTACCTCGTCAGAGCAGTTGCCATGAAAAATTTTGTAGAAAAGACAGAGGGCAACTCCATCACGTCTGTGAGAAAGTGACTGGAATCAAGATGACAGGTCAGGAACTATCACATTGCATATCCGTCTTTGGATTGCTTTAATTAATTATTTTTTAATACTTAATGTTGCCAAGTACAGGGCTCGAGAGTCACTCAGCATAGAGGCTTACAATCAAAATGTTAATGATGAATTTAGCGTGGGATATGAATAGAAAATAGTGGCGGGAAGTTGAGATTCATGAGGAGAAAGAGGGATGATGAAGATTGATTGCCCCCCCCAACTGCGACGAAGAGTTCAAGATTGAAATTTCCAGGCAAGCCCTTACGCGGGGGCCTATTCCATAAAATGGCAGTTCTTTAACAAAACATTTGGATATGCGTGCATATTTGTCTAGCTGTAATGGTCTGAACTGGTGAGAAGATCAGATGGAGCTCATATGAAAATTCGTTATGGCAACAGAGATAAGTCTGCAACGTTGCATCAGTGGGAAAAATGTCAAAGATTTGAAAATAAAACTTGCTTACCACAAGACCTTGTAAATTACTTTGCAATCTATTTAAGCTGGAAAGGATGGACCACATCACTTCATACAAGAATATAACTTCCTTTCTCCCATGTAACAAAATGTAAATCTATTGCATCTAAATATCTATGCGTTCTTCTTTTTCTAAGTACCGTGTGTAGGCGATCATAGTTCTACACGATTTCCTGTACTTAATAAATTTTGTCTTTTTGTCATTTTTCCTAAACCCTGTTCCATTTACTCTTAGTAAATAATCGAAACTCACCAAATAATCAACGTGATGGAAATTAATAATAATAAATTGTGCAGGTTTAGTTACCATTAAATTAAATATATCAATACACATACACACACATCCTTAAAATGTGTCAATATATAGTTTAACCTCATCCAGAATAAACATCGGAGTATGGTTTCCGATAGTCTGCTTCATACTTAGGAGTATAAAACAGCTAAAACAGTTTATTAAAATATCTTTTACATGTAAAGTTTTTCCTAACAAGAATGTAAACAGACATATGTCATATATAAAGTACAGTGTATCTGTGTGTGTGTGTGTGTGTGTGTGTGTGTGTGTGTGTGTGTGTGTGTGTGTGTGTGTCAAAGCAACTCCTCCGCTCCCACTGGTCCGATTTCAATGATCCATAGCTCATTCAAAAGCCCTAGAAATGTTCGGCGCAAGGGACGATTTTCGTTGAACTCAGATTTAGGGTTGCCAGCTTATATGAGGTTGAAAATATATATTAATATATTATACTAGCGATTATCGTTACTTTCATGGCTC